CTTCAAACATATATTTTATTCAAAAATAAAAACATTATTACTTTCTCAAAATCACATAAAGTCATATTATAATATCGACTGAGATAAAGAAGAAAATGAAATATTAAAATCATGATGTATCTCGCTGCATTGAGCGAATACGCTTCTAGTATACTATATATATGTATGTATATATTGAATTCTCCCTTCTATTCAGGTACATCCCTAATCTCCTTGGTATGTTGGAAATCTCCATTGTTGAAAATTTAAGTTAGCTCCTAGGGTTTATGCATCATTTTGATAATGGGATGTTGGAAGTTGATTCCTTGGTAATTCTTGTAGTTCTCTGGTCCCTATGAGTTCCATTTTCGGTTTGGAGATAAAATTGGTATGAGATCCTCGTATTTCTCCAACATTCAATGTGTGCGCGACTTGGCTCACGATGTCAGATCGAGATCAAAGTAGCGTGAATCACATGTCCTTCGATTATTTTATGATTTGGGTATCATTATGGTATGAATCCGACTCTCTCTCCCTCTATAAGAGTTAATTACGTAGCTGGTCCCTATAAATTGATGGGTTTTACAAAAATAAGAAAAAACAAAAAAGAAGTGTGAAAAGAGAGTCGGAAAACATGATTGAACAATTTTATTCCTGGCTCTTAGTGGATATTTTTAATGATGTTAGTAACCAGGTCTCATTTTCAAAGCAAAATCAAAACCTGAAAGATGACATGTTGACTTATTAAAGTTCCGGTCCGACATTTTAAAAAATCACTAAAGTGGGGTTTTTTTTTAAGAGGGATTGAAGTCTGAAACCTTATTTCATTTCTAATTAGTAAGAGGTGGTGTTGAAGTGTGAAATCTGAATTAATAAGACTGTTTGTTTTTGTAAACTTACAAACGTCTGAAGTTTGAAATTTGAATCAATAGTTTGTTTTTGTAAAATCAGGTACAAACATTTTGAATAATTCTCTTGATTTTCATAAAATTTCCATTGTCGAAATTCATCTCAACAATTGTTTAAGAGATGGAACACAGTTGAACCTTTTGGATAATTTTCACACTTCCAAATGCCGCCGATGAGTTTTTTTTGTGGAAAAATCGATACTTTTTAATAGAGGATATATCGTCAACATAAGTTCTTGTTTCACATTAATCTTCTAAGCTAACTTATATGTACATAAATTATATATATATATATATATATATATCTATATAGGGGTGGGTTCAAATAAAAACCACTCAATTTGTAAAAACCGTGAAAACCTCATTCAACCAATCATAATTTTTCATTTTKTTCATTTTTTTGTAATTATGAGAGGTTGATTAAYCATTTWTATTGTGRAGGGTGTTAATCATGGATATTATCATCTTCATTATTTTAATTTTAGAGAAATACATGAAACAGTTTCATTAAAATTTAATTAAGTAGTATATGAAACAATTTTATAACCCCATATGAAACAACTTCATCAAAAAAAGTATTATATGAAACAATTTCACAAGATTAACAATTTCATGAAAAACTTTCATAAGATTAACAATGGATGAGAATAGTTTTTACGGTTTTTACAAATTGGAGTGGTTTTCATTTGATCGCTCATTTATATATATATATATATATATATATATATAGAAGGTTTACTTTGCAAACCATGTTATTTGTACAAACCGTACAATATTCATTCAACTGATCACAAATTTTCATTTTGTTCATTTTTTTGTAATTATGGTAGGTTGATTAATCATTTTTATTGTGAAGGGTGTTGATCATGGATATTATCATCTTCATTATATTAATTTTAGAGAAATACATGAAACAATTTCATTAAAATTTCATAAGTATTATATGAAACATTTTCATAATCATATATGAAATAACTTTATAAAAAAAGTAGTATATGAAATAATTTCATGAAAATTTTTCATAAAATTAAACAATGAAATCGACAGATGACGATGGTTTGCACGGTTTGTACAAATAAGGGTGATTTGTATTTGATCGCTCCCCCCCCCCCTCTCTATATATGTACATACGTAGAGAAAGAGAGAGAAGGGTGAGACGTGCATTTCACATGGGTGGTAAAAGTACGGTGCCGTTCTTGACGGATAAAGAAACAATAGCCAAAGAAAATAAAAAAATAGAAAATAAGATGAATTAAGTTATTAGTTTACATTTTATTTATATTTAGATCCGATAAGATGTTTTAAAAATAATAAAACAATAAAGAGTCTGAATTACAACAAATGTCATTAAGATATAAAAAAAAGTAGATGTGATGGACCTCTTATTCATTTTTAACTCACATGGGAAGCCAAGTGGTTGCTGACGAATATATTACTTCTTTTTATTCATTTAATATGTTTTAGGTTTTTTAGCCTTTTAACTCCATTAAGCGATTTTCGGCGATTCCTTATTTTTAACAATGATTTTATTTAAGTGGAATTTCATATGATGCTTTGTTATTTTAAAAGATTTTTGTTATTTTAATTTGTAAACTTTTAATATAATATAAGGTAAATTTCATATGATGCTTCTATTTTGTCTAACGTACTTGCAAAACTTTCATTTTAAAGCCTCAGATGTGAAAATTCAAACAAGTATACAGTAGGAATCAAAACAAAGTACGTTCCATGTTTCATGCATTCTCGGATGTACCTAAAGGTTTGAGATGTGACATTTAAGTTACCAAAATGAAGGTTTTGAAAGTACGTTACACGAAATAAAAATCAAACCAAAATATGTCGCATGTTCATGCAATTTTCCCTATATGCTACCGTATGAACTTTTATAATTTTATTTTATTTTTATACTTGTTCCGTCAAATTTATAGTCTTGGTACATGTGTTGTTGGTCCTCCAAAAAGATTGGATCAACCATGTGTTTATTAATAGAATATTTCTTAAATTTAAGAAAACAGAATGGCATGGTCCAATAGGTCCTATCCCAAATGTGTCTTCATCTATGGCCTCTTTTATAGACAGTGATAGAATGTAAACTCCATGAGATTTGCTTTTCTGTAAAGTAGGAGCATTTCAAATTGATCAAAACACAAAGTATCGAAATTAATGCGAAATATGTGAGCAAAAGTTTGAATTATTGAACTTAGTTGGCTATTGTGGACCATCATATGTTACTTTTCCCACCATTGCTGCTCTCCCAATAAAGCTCTTGATCCCTGTTGCTTGGCTACTGTTACTGCAGTGTTCAGCAGAATTTATCCTTCTCAAGCTCTCATCTTTGGAGCTCTAAATTTTATCTTGTTCTACTATCAAAATGATGTCTCATATAAAAGAGTTTGAGCACCTTAGATTACAATTAGAAACTATAAAATCCGCAACCAGCAACTTCGCTGCAGAGAATTGCATCGGAAATGGAGGATTTGGGAAAGTGTACAAGGGAGAACTCGACATCCATTCCAAGGGGCAATCCGTGGTTGCTTTTAAGCGTTTAGATCGTGTATTTGGACAAGGAAACCCATAGTTTTGGAAAGAGATCATGATGCTTTCCCGTTATAGACATAACAATATTGTCTCTCTCTTGGGGTTTTGTGACGAGAATGATGAGAAGATCCTCGTATACGAGTATGCATCTAAGAGAAGCCTTGACTTGTATCTGAGAAATGATGATCTCACGTGGATCCAACGCTTGAAGATATGCATTGGGGCGGCCCATGGACTTGCATACCTTCATAATCCAGTTGGGACCCAATTTAGAGTACTGCACCGTGATATCAAAAGTTCCAACATCCTGTTAGATGTAAACTGGAATGCCATGATCTCAGATTTCGGCCTATCCAAATTTGGTCCTGCTAACCAACAATTCACATTTCTTGTCTCCAGCCCTGTAGGCACGATCGGGTATTGTGATCCGCTATATGTAGAGACGGGGTTCTTAACAAAAGAATCAGATGTTTATTCCTTCGGTGTGGTATTGTTTGAAGTATTGTGTGGAAGGTTGTGTGTTAGCAACAACAACGATAAACGTCAGCCTCTAACGAGATTGGCACGAGAATGCTATGAACAAAACAGAATAAATGATATTATCTACGGTAGTATAAAGGATGAAATAAATCCGAATTCTTTGAAGGTGTTTACAACTATAGCTTATCAATGTCTGAATAGAGACCGCGAGGAACGTCCATTAATGACCGAGATCGTGAAAGTACTTGAAACTGCACTTGATTATCAAGTAAGTTGTTTTTCTCTTTTTAATTGGTTTTATTTGGTTAGCTTATTTGTATGTGTACATTGCAGGCTAATAAAGAAAGTTGGAAGCTTTGTGATACAGCTGATTCCTCTTCCCCTGAAGTATCCTTGTGAGTTTATGTTCTATTCATATTCAGACAAAATCCATCAAACTAGAATTGTGAAAAAAAGATCCAATGAACTGATAACTAATAGCACAAGGTACTCGCTTTCGTGTTCACATCTTTAGATTGAAACAAACGCATCCGTTCAATATGATGTATATCGAGGATCAAGCCCAAGCTGGTGAATGGGATGAAGTCGAACGATATTTGCGTGGTTTCACAAGGGTCGAAGATAATCCTTACTCAACCAAGATATTCTTTGAGATAAGGAAACAGAAGTACCTGGAAGCTCTTGATAGGCAAGTTTTGTACTATATTTATACAACGTCGTCCCGATCGCAAGATCAAGTTTTATAGTATTTTTAATCTGGCTTATTAACGTTTGAGTTGCTAAGCTCAGGAATGACCGGGAAAAAGCTGTTGATATTCTTGTGAAGGATTTGAAGGTCTTTTCTACATCTCACGAAGGGCTCTACAAGGAGATTACCAACCTAATAACGCTTGACAATTTTAGGTAGCAAAGAAAAATATTTGTTCCAGTGACCGTTGTTAGTCGTTGTATATTCTTGTTTACCGGATAAGAGCTTATTGGCGAAAGAAATCCACCTCGAGTACCTTGTCGTGTAACATCTTCGGCAATCAAAATGGATTGTTGGTAAGCATATTCGACCCGGTAAACGTTTATTGGGCAAGAGTCTTTTCCTTCACTTGCCGGGTAAGACTCTTACTCTTTGTTATGGCTCTTACCCGGTAAGATTCTTGGTGCGCTCAATCAATAAGGTAAACGATATCAATAAGCACTTACCCGATAAACGTTTAGTGACCAGCCCCTCATATCGCAAGATGTCTTATCCTAGTACATGTCATCTGGTACTTATCAGTCATTTCCATGTGTCCCTTGTTAAAAAGTGATTTCTTTTACCTTATTATCCTGATGTGTCATTAGGCAGAACGAGCAGCTTTCAATGTATGGGGACACCAAAATGGCACGAGTCACTACTCTGTTTGAGCTGAAAAAGCTGATAAAAGCAAACCCAGTGTTCAAAGGAAAGCTTGCTTATCCCATAATTAAAGCTTCACGACCATTGCAGAGGTCTTGATCAACCCAATTCAAACTTATGGTTTTATTGCTATCAAGTGTCATTTATCTGCTAAATTACTACCAAATTTGCTGTGTTTAACAAATACTGTGCTGTAGATTTACAAAAAGATGTAGTAAATATAATTTCTGCAGTTGGAAGTAACCTAAATAGTGCTTAATGGTTGCCTGATTACTTTACAGAAACCTCAGACTTCCTCTTCTTTTTCTTGGTTTCTTATAAGCTGTTGCTACAGCTGAAGTTAATTCGTTATCTTTGAATTGGTATTGCTGGAATTTTCAGGCTTAATGTCAGCACCAACTTTGCAAGAATCTGCGAACGAGTCGAGTGCTGATATCGAAGCTTTTTATTTATTTATAATACCTGTGCTTCGAATAACGGAAGTCATGCTCCACCCCATACTCACTACCTTATAGAGCCACATCTGTTAGGTCGGACCAGGAACCAGATTTTTTCTTCGATATGAAATATTTTGAAGATCAAGTTGAAGCTGGTGCTTGGGATGAAGTTGAACGATATCTGTGTCGGTTCACAGAGGTTTCAGAGAAAAATCCCAGCTCAATGCAGATATTCTTTGAGATAAGGAATCAGAAGTACTTTGAAGCTCTTTATAGGCAAGTTCTATGGAGTATGTTTTTATAGTTAAATTTCTATATTAGTCTGTTTGGCTTATTAACTTTTAGTTGCTGACTGATCTCAGGTATGACCGTGTAAAAGCTGTTGAAATTCTTGTGGAAGAGTTGAAGGTTGTTTCTACATTTAACAAAGAGCTCTTCGAGGATATCACCCATCTAATAACGTTCGAGAATCACAGGTATCGTTATCGTCTTGTACTTAATCACTCATTTCCACGTCTAGCCTTCTTTGTTGAGCTTATTATCGTAATGTGTCATTAGGCTGAGAGAGTATCTTTCGACGTATGGGGACACGAAATCATCGCGAAGCGTTATGCTGGTTGAGGTGACAAAACTTATAGAAACAAACCCATGTTTCATGGGCTGCTGAATGAGAATTGTAGTCAATATTCTGTTTCTTATAGGAAATGTCTGTTTTGTAACAGCCAACATCTTTTGTATATGCTTATTCTAAAAGATCTTGTTGCACTTGTTATGCTTTCAGATCAGAACAAAGTATGAAGGAAGCTGTATTGTTAGTTCACGAAAATGAATGTTCAAATAAAGGAACATTCCTTAGCAACCACATAGTATTTTGATGAAATGAAATCCTCCATTTTCATAATACCAAATATGTTCTTGACTCAATATACCATAATCTCGTAAAACTCAATATGACCATCATCGATCATCTTCGACCACCGTTGATCTGAATCACCGCCGACCATCACCGTCTGAACCACAACTGACCATCACCATCTGAACCATTGTCGACCATTGTTGTCTGCGACCATTACTGATCTGAACCATCATCAACCACCGCCGATCTGAACCACCACCGATCTCATCCACCGTCGTTCTGAACCACTGCAGATCACCGCCATTTGAACCACCATGGACCACCACCGATCTGAACTACTGTCGACCATCGTCATCTGAACCACCACGGACCACCATTGATCTGAGCCACCGCCAACTACTACCGATCTGAATCACCGCCAGCCACCCTTGATCTAAACCACCACCGATCATCATCGATCTGAATCACCCCTGATCTGAACCACATCCGACCAACGACACCTGAAACATCATGGTCCACCACTGATCTGAACCATCAACGACTACCACCGATCTTAATCACCGCCGGACACTGTCGATTTGAACAACCATTGATGTGAACCACCACCGATATGAACCATCGCAGACCACCATCGTTCTGAACCACTGCCAATCATGCCATCTGAACCATTGCGATCCACGACCACCGTTGATTTAGTAACGCCGTTTGGCTTATGGTTATATTTGGATCATGTATTTTATATTATTTTACATATTAAATAATTATTTTATTAAAGTATTTTTAGTTTTAAAAAAATTGAATTTTTCAAAAAATGGCATTTTGGTCATTTACTAATATGTCATTCCAATTTCAAAACTATATTATGTAAACTAAATAGACAAATTTCAATTTCCTAACAAATTTCATTCAAATGTCTGCCAACTAAACAAGTTATCAAATCGTAACAACATTTCATTCAGATAATCTATACTATATTATAAAATATTTGACAAAAACTCTTAAATATCATTTTTATGCATGAAGTACTATATATTTATGCATATTACTTAAAATTCAAGATTACAAGTAAATTATGTATAAGTACAACTTATTAAAACTCCATGTTTGAATTCGTGTAACTAACTACGGATAAACATAATCAAATAGAGGATAAACATCTCATTTTAAAATATAAAAAATCTAAAATATAATTAAGATTATTATCGAGTTCTAATAAAATAATTAATTATTATATTTATAAAAAATTATATTATTAAACCAAAAAAAAAAGTTAATGAAATACACAAAAAATAAGAAATTTTAAATAGTTATTTGGTTTTAATATCCATAACTTTTTTATGATATATATTTATATTTTATTTAAAAATAAAAATATTAACATTTTATCAAAACCACATAAAATTATATTATAAAATTAACTAAAACAAAAATAAAAATAAAATATATATCATTACATTGTGCAACTACCCTACTTCCATCTTATGGATGGCAATGGGGCGGGGACCTCAATATTCGTCCCCATCCCCGAACCCACGTATGTGTCCCCGTCCCTGTCCCCGTCCCCGCCGGGGATTATGATCACATCCCCATCCCCATCCCCGTCCCCAACGGGGAACGGGGATCCCCAACGAGGAAACGGGAATTTTTTTTAAAAACAAAAAATTATTGAAATACACTAATATTAATATAAGATTTAAACAAGACCAAAAAGTTTAAACTAATATTATCAAAGTTAACGTCAAACGTACTAAAATTACATTGAGTAATATCCGAAAGGACCAAAACATATCAAGTAAATTTCCATACCATCTACCATCAACAGTGATAATTGCAAGTTTGCACAAGGAATAACATAGTGATATTTGGAATATAGCAATCAATCACCAATTCCATCTTTTTGACAAGTGCCAACTTCTTTTTATTTAGTTTATTATTTATACCTAAAATACATATTATTGTGATTGCAATTTGAAGGGCGGCTGCTGCTGTAGGCACATGATATCAACTGTCAACAAGAACCTAATTTGTACAAAAACCTAATTTGTAAAAGAAAGCAGACCAGCCACAATAATGTATTAATTTGGATHCAAAYMAAGGAACATATATAACAATTAACGTGGTAGTATAAAATGGTAGATGATTAATGGAAACCTACTACCAAAGTGGTAAAACTCTAGTTAAGGTAAACATTANAACATATATAACAATCATTATCAAAGTGGTAGTATAAAATGGTAGATGATTAATAGAAGACATACCTTTTAGATTTCAGAACTTGAATCTGTAGCCCAGTAGCCGGAGAGGGAGAGCCAGAAAGGGAGAACCGGAGTGGGAGTCGCTGTCGGCCTGTCGCCGTCGCCGTCGCCGGAGAGGGAGAGTCTGGTCGGGAGAAGGAGTCTCTAAGCGCCGTCCGTGTCGTACTCGTATACTAGGGAAGGAAATCGTACAATGACAATGAGGAGGGAGGATGCGGGAACCGGGAAGGAATAGGATTAGAAAATTGAAATTGTGAATTCGTACTCATGGACTGGACTAGAGGAAGGAGAAGATGCAATTTACTTTTTTTATTTCACAGCCCAAATTCATAAAAAACATATATATATATATATATATATATAAAACGGGTACGGGGCGGGGAGTGTTATACCCGTCCCCAGCTTGCGCCAAGCGGGGATCCCCGTTCCCGTCCCCGGGACCCGATTTTTCGGGGAATCCCCGTCCCCGACCGGGGCGGGTGGACCGGGTTACCCGACGGGTCGGGGTCCATTCCCATCCCTATTCCATCTTAAAAAAAAAAAAAAACTAGTCCCTTTCTCTGTAATTCACCCAAAACCTTCGTTCTTTCTTTTAGCGATGCTATTCTCCTTTCTTTCGTCGGCCACCATATCTCCACAAACCACCATCGCTCTCAATCCGTAGTTCTTTGGAGCTTTTACTTCTGTTTTTGTTCAACCATCAAAGCGATGTCTCATATAAAAGAGTTTGAACACCTCAAAGTACAACTAGAAGCTATACTATTAGCAACCAACAACTTAGCTGTTGAGAATTTCATTGGGAAAGGAGGATTTGGGAAAGTGTACAAGGGAGAAATCGACGTCCATTCCAAGGGCAAATCCATGGTTGCATTTAAACGTTTAGATCGTGCATTTGGGCAAGGAAACCCAGAGTTTTGGAAGGAAATCATGATGCTTTCCAGATGTAGACATGAAAATATCGTCTCTCTCTTAGGGTTTTGCGATGAGGGTGACGAGAAGATTCTCATTTACGAGTACGCATCTAAGAGAAGCCTCGACTTGTATCTCAACCGTGATGATTTATCATGGCTTCAACGCTTAAAGATATGCTTCGGGGCCGCTTGTGGACTAGCATATCTTCATAATCCTATCGAGGACCAACTTAGAGTATTGCATCGTGATATTAAAAGTTCCAACATCCTATTGGATGAAAACTGGAATGCCATGATCTCAGATTTCGGACTGTCCAAATTGGGTCCTATTAATCAAGAGTTCACATTTCTTATCTCCCAAACTGTAGGAACAGTCGGGTATTGCGACCCGCTGTATGCAGAGATGGGGTTCTTATCAAAAGAGTCGGATGTTTATTCCTTCGGTGTGGTGTTGTTTGAAGTATTGTGCGGGAGGTTGTGCTATAGAAACAACAATGATAGCGATAAGCTTTTAGCAGGATTGGCAAAAGAATGCTATGAACAAAACAGAGTAAATGATATTATTTATGGTAATATAAAGGATGATATAGATCCTAGTTCTTTGAAAGTGTTCACAACAATAGCTTATCGATGTTTGAAAAGAGACCATAAGGAACGTCCATTAATGACCGAGATCGTGAAAGCACTTGAAACTGCACTTCATTATCAAGTAAGTGGTTATTTTCTGTTAAAATTTCTGGGTTTGTGGTTACAGTCACTTGGACAGAATCTTGGGATGTGTATCTGATGCTCGTTCCAAATATAGTATTTTGATCCTTACATCCTTAGGTTGCATGAAATTTGTATTGGAATAATCCAAGATTTCACTTTGTTTCAAGGCAGAAACTCTAGTAGCCAACCGTAGGATTGCTTTATTTTATGTATGTATATATTAGGAGATATTATAGCAGTTAAGATAGATTACAGGTGGTTAGAGAAACGGTTATAAGTGCAGGAACTTATCTGTAGCAGCTGGTCATCGGTTGGTCCATCAGCTGATGCTGTCACTGATGGGCAGCAGCTGATGTTGCCGCTGATGCTCAGCAGATGAAGGTGCCTCTGAAACTGAAGGTTATCAACTGAAGCTGCCATTGAAGCCAATCAGCTGCCACTCCCATCGATGCTTTTGTTTCCACTGCCTTTGATGCCCATCAGATGCGGTTGTCACTGATGTAACTTGTGAAGGACTTAGAGCAGTAAAATAATGCCCCATGCAACCTCGCCAGGGGCGCTGTCCCTAGAACCCCACAAGGGGGTGCGCCCCCCTTGACTCCGCATATGGCAAACTAAGGTTCAAGGCGACATTTACAAGCGTACACTGCACACCACCAAACTTGTCTTACTATTCAACCTTTCTTCTATCTCAAACCGATCTCAAGTACACCAAAATGTTTGATGACACTAAAATCACCAACATTTTCTTCCTATATATACATTTGTTTTTAGTGATTATGTTAATCTAGTTTTTTTTCCACTCTAATAGAATGTTTGAGCAAATAGTTTGGACATGTCATAGGGTTCATTACTAGAATACTTCTTACAGTTAATTGATTCTTCGTAGAATGGAATTTGGTGGAATCAGAATCTATCATAGGAATTTGACTTTGGAGGAACTAGAATGGAATTTGACCATGCTTGTGGTTGGTAGGAACTGGAATGGAAGTTGACCATGCGTTTGGTTGGTAGGAATTGGAATGGAATCTCTCAAAAGAATTGGAATCTCCATCTTTGTTTGGGGAGGGTGTGTGGTAGCTGTGACAATCGTCGGGAGTTTAACAATTCCCACTTCCATTAATTTTGTGCAGAAAAAGATTGGTTTTCTGATTCTCATGCCCCCATACATCTCCTCAAAGCGGTAAATCTGATTATTCGAACCATAGACAACATGATTCGCACCATTCTAATCCATGCATCGTTACCTCCATCTTTTTGGAAATATGCATTATCCATTGCAGCTTACATTCTCAACATTCTTCCCACACATACCCTACACAACAAAACGCCAACCGAAATTCTTTATCAACAAATCCCCACATATGCCTACCTTCATACTTTTGGTGGCCATTGCTATCCAAATCTTTCCTCCACCACCCTTCACAAACTTGCCCCACGATCGACCCCTTGTGTCTTCTTGGGATTTCCCTCGAACCACTAGGGGTACCTATGCTTTGACCCTTCTACAAATAAAATCCTCATATCTCGTCATGTTACTTTTACGGAAACAATCTTTCCTTTCTCCACTATTCATAAATTCCAACCTAACGACTATGATTTTCTTGACTTCATTGATCTATCCCCCCATCTCACTCATGCTATACATGGCAATCCTACTCAACCTCCCTCCCCACTTCTATCGTCTCCACATCTACATCTCCACGTTCACCCACGGTCCCTTCACCCCCCCAACTATGGTTCCCACATCACTTTATCCTACGTCTTCATCTCTGCATACAGTCACCTCCTCACCTATACCATCCAATCTCTCCCTCCCTTCGTCCCCCGCACCCCCACATACATTACCCATCCCATGCAAACCCGAGCTAAAAGTAGCATTCACAAACCCAAAGTCTAGTTTAATCTTTCCACTCAAGCCATATTGCCCTTGACCCATATTGGAATTATGCCATGATTGACGAGTATGATGCTCTCATTATTCATTAAACAACACGTGTGGGATCTTGTCTCAAGACCGTTGGGTGGTGAACCTTATTCGTTGTATGTGGCTCTTTCGCCATACATCAGGGAAAATGGCGACCTTGAACATCAGAAGGCACGACTCGTTGTTAATGGGAAATCACAAGAGGTCGGGTGGATTGTGATGAGACATTTAGCCCAATGGCCAAACGGGCCACCATTTGTACCATCCTAAGCATTGCCATGGGACGTGACTGTTCAACTTGATGTGAAAAATGCATTTTTGCAGGGAACCTATAGGACACTGTTTTTATGCATCAACCACCCAGGTTCGTAAATCCGTCTACTCCAGGGCATGTGTGTCTACTTCGTAAGTCTCTTTACGACTTAAAACAAGCCCCAAGAGCTTGGTACCAACGATTTGCTAACTACCTTTTGCAGATTGGTTTCATATGCACCAAAAGTGACAACTCTCTTTTCATCTACTATCGCAGTACTGACACTGCCTACTTATTACTATATGTGGACGGCATTGTCCTCATGGCCTTTTCGGATAAACTAAAATCTGATTATTTAGGCCCTAAAAGCCGAGTTTGCCATGACTGATTTAGGCAAATTGAGTTACTTTTGGGGCATTTTCGTCACTGGAACACCACAAAGTATGTTTCTAAGTCAACAAAAACATGCCGAGGCAATCATTCACAGGGCCAAAAAGGCAAATTGCAATATCATGCCCACAACAGTTGACTCAAGTTCTAAACGCAGTGATCATGACGGCAATCTAGTGTCTCTATATTGCAGCCTTGTCAGTGCGCTACAATATCTCACATTCACTAGGCCGAAAATTGCCTATGCCGTACTACATGTATGTTTGTTCATGCATGCCTCTCAGGAGCCACATTTTAGCTCTCTTAAACGCATTATTCGTTATATCAAAGGAACGCTTGATCATGGATTACATATCTACCCCTCTACACCAAACCGCTTAATATCATACACGGACGCTGATTGGGGTGGATACCTCGACACATGCCGATCCACCTCAGGTTATTGTGTGTTTTATGGGCGATAACCTTATTTCATGGTCCGCTAAACGACATGCTACACTCTCACGATCAATCGTCGAGGCTAAATATCTTGGTGTTGCAAATGTCGTTGTTGAAACATGTTGGCAACGGAACCCCCTTCTTGAGCTCCAATGCCTCCTTCAAAGAGCGACTGTTGTTTACTGTGGCAATGCATCTACAGTGTACTTGTCCAGTAACCCAGTCCAAAATCAACGGACCAAACACATTGAGATGGACATACACTTTGTTCGTGAGAAGGTTACCTTGGGTCATGTTCGCATCCTACATGTTCCCTCCTCATACCAGTATGCAAACATTTTCTCCTCGACAACTTTTTCTCGACTTGAGGTCCAGTTTAAATGTTTGGCCTCCTCTCGCTCGAACTGCAGGGGTGGATAGGACCATATATTTATGATATATTTTTCATATTTTTTTTGGATATGTTATAGGAAATATTGTAATGATCTCCTTCCTATTTTACAATTTGTATTCTCCTTATATATTGTTGGAAATGAGAATGTGAGAGGCAAGGGATTCACACCAAACTTTAGTGGGATCTCAATGAAATCCTGGACTCTCAAATCCAGGAAATCCTTAAAACCAAACATGATATTGGAATGGAATTCAATTCCAAATCCCTCCAAATCCAATCCTACAAACCAAACGGGACCTAGCCTCCTACCAAAGAATTCCGACTCCCCTTTTTGTTTTCCCCACCACAAACTTTTAACAACTCATATCATTCTCCATTTGTATTCTCATCATCATTACTAATTACTAGTTCTTCTTCATCTTTTTTCACTTCCTTCTATTGTTCCATCCCCATATGTTGTTTCACTTTCTTCTTCTCATTTAATTTGTTCCTACAATTAGAACATCAACCATTTTTAATTTTGTATTCTTAATTCTCATAGTAAATTTTAGTTACAATCTTACACATGCACGAGCCATCATGTTAAAAGGAGACAGCCATGAAGCCTAGCAGAATTGGCCTGGCGTACTTGGTATAATACTACAGATTGGATGACCAAATGATATTGATTGTTTTTCTAGGACCACTTGTAGAACTATAAATTGTGACCACAATCTGTTATTCTTTTGTTCTTGAATCACTCGCACAAAATGGGGTTATCTGGATGATGATGATGATGATGATGAGGATGAGAGCTTGAGTTCTGATGTGTTACATTTTTGCCACATGAGCATTATAAGTTTTGTCAATCTATGTTTTCAGTAATCCGCTAGATCGTTGAACTAAGTAAACATTGAATTAGATTGTCATTTTTACAGGGAGCCGTTTCAACAAGGTCTTGTTAGCTTATTTTGTGTTTTGTGTACATTGCAGGCTAATAAAGAAAGTTGGGAGTTCTCTGATACAGTTGATTTCTTTCATCCTGAAGCATCAATGTGAGAGTAGTTTATTTATGTTATATTCATTATATGAGCCAACATGCATTTTTAATCTACCTGGCTTACTTGCACCTTTCTTCAGCCAAGGAATCTTATATCATTTAGGGTGCGTTTGGTGCGCAGACAGGACTGGACGGGACAGGACAGCTGTTCAACGTTTGGTAAGATAGGACAGGACAAGACAGAACATGCTAAAATGACCAATTTACCCCCAGCAAAATCGTTTCAATTGAATCAGGCGCAAACATGAATCAGAAAAACACAATTGCATCAATAGTCATAGTTAAGCTAGAACACAATTGAATCAGAAAAACACAATTGCATCAATAGTCATAGTTAAACATGAATCAGAAACACTAAATCGCCGAATTATAACAAGTTTAAGAAACCCTAAATCGACTTATGCAAAATCGAGAATGAAATCAGAAACCCTAAATCGAGTTATGCAAAATCGAGAATGAAATCAGAAACCCTAAATCG